GTGTACAACTTGAATAATAATAGTAATTTTATTAAACCAAAATATAAAATGTCGTACTGAATTTCTATTCATTTGATCGTGTTCGACTTTGTACAATCTGGTAGACATTTATGTGCAATTCGTATAACCCTTATGTGCATTCGCAATACATAAAAAATATAAATAAAAAGTAGTATTATTGTCAATAAAAAGATGTAAATAAAAAAATTGGTAATATTTTTCATATGTTTTGACATGTTCGGTTATTTTGTGTATTTAATAACATTAGATCCGACATTTAACCATTTAATATTATTCGATCAATTAGCATAATTAATTTTTACGTGCAACGCGTTGTTTTAAAAATACTACTGAATGCACAATAATGATAATTAATATTATTCTGCACTTATTACTTTATTTATATACTAAAAATATATTTAGTATTTATATTTTTTATTTAATAATTGTTTGCTGGAATAAATAGTGTATATATAATATAAAATTTTAGTTTTTTATACATTTCTGTCAATTATGTTATTTTTCATATGTAAAAATATATGAAATACTAAAATCTATTAGTTTATTTAAAAAATTAGTTTATTCGATCGGTTAACGAGATTATTTTAGTTAACCGAATTGAAATACTGTATTATTTTTTATTAGAAAAATATATCTAGTTTATGGATCGAATAAAATATATTTGAGATAAATAAAATTTTATTTAAAAATAGAGTTTGGATTTTTTGGTTATTTGAAAAAATAACTCCGACCACGAACTGAAATTATCGTGTTCTTAAAAGTAAAAACAAATTATCAAACCAAAAAAATTAGTTCAATTGATTAAGTGCAATTCTATAGTCATTAGTGTGCAATTCATCAAGCAGTATAGTGCACTTATAGTGCATATATTCTTTTAATAATTTGTACTAACCCAAACTAAATTGATAGATTTAAATCATAAAAAGATACATTTAGTATTTTTTATATATTTATTTAATATTTTATATTTTTCTATCTGATAAAAATAATATTTCTATATATATATATATATATATTATTTTTTGTATAGTTAGTCGGTTGATTATTTTGGTTATTTTAAAAAAATAATGTTCATATTAATCTGATATAATTGATATTTACAAATAAAAATAGATAATTGACCCGAAATATATGATTTCAAAACAAAATTTTTTAGTTCATCTAATTTTGGTCATTATGTGCAATTCGTCTAACATTGCGGTGCAATTTGGTAGTCGATAAAGTGCAATTCGCCAAACACTATTATGCAGTCGCATCCTATATTATTATATAAATATATTTATTACTTAATATTTTTTAAAAATTAATATTTTACATAAAATTTTTTAAGCAGTATACACTTTATTTATTATTAATATACATTTATGAGATATTTCTATATTCGAAACAAAATCATTAGTTCATTCAGTTTCGGTCATTATGTGCAATTCGTCTAGCATTGTTGTGCAACTTGGTAGTCGTTAAAGTGCAATTCGTCTAACTCTATTTGTGCAGCCGCAGTGTATTTTTTACTTATTATTATAAATGTATATTTATTATTTTAATACCTTTTTATATATTAAACTTTACATATTAAAAAAATTTAAACCTTGTACACTTTATTTACATTAATATCCATTTATGAGATATTTCTATAAATTACATATTTGATCATGAACTAATTAAAAAAAATAATACTCAAAATTCATAAAATTATAAAATTATCTCTCAAAACTATTTAATATATATAAAAAAATCAATGAAACCCCAAATTACTAATTTGAAATTGCAAATTTATTACACATTAATTACATTTCTGAAAATTACACATTAGGCACATGTGCCCAATTGAAATATATTCAAACTTCATCTATTTGCAAATTAACCCATAGGCTAAATTGAAAATAAAACAAATATGGAAATTGTAATTTAGTCCCTTTAAAATATCAAATTCTCAACCACAAGTCCTCCATCCAAAATCAATATCCACTCATTGTCGTCAATCGTGCTTGGAATTGGGATGTGCAGTGCGGACACACCGGATCACTCTGCCACGACGATGGACAACCGAGCTCTACAACGACTCCGGCGAGTCCCTTGCTGGTCGTGGTCACCGGCGAGAATGTCTCTGCTGGTTGTGGTCGCCGCTGTCGTCACATCTCGCCATCACCGGCGCAAGAAACCTGCTCTACGGCCGTGCACCGCTGTAGTGCAATTCACCATCTCCGGCAAAAGGAATCGTCCAACTTTTTAATACCCCGCCGCTCGCCGAGTTGAATGACCAGCTCGCCGCGACCGATACCTGCCATGGCATGGACCGACTCTGGCTCGGCTCCGTCAGACGACCACCTGTACCAGTCGCCCTCATCTCCGTCACGCTGTCGTCACTTTTTTTTCCGACGGGTTGTCTGCTCCGGTGGTCGATGATGGTTTTACAATTCCTGAGCATGTCCTTCGTCACCGGGGCTGTTTATACACCGTCGTCAATCGAATTTCGTGAAAGTTCCATGCAATATCTTCTGCACACACATGAAGACTTTGAATGGCACACAAATGAAGAAAATAGTTAACCACCACCTCCACCAAACCTTATTCATTCAAACCATTTTGTCAATGGTAGTGTGCTAATTCATATCTATAAATAGGCTACTCATTTCATTCATTCAAATCATCCTTGAGAGTGATCAATCAACCTTGAGAGTGTTGAAACACAACCAAGAAAGAGTTGTGGAGTGTTTGAGAGTTTTTTGTTTAGAGTTTGTAAATCTCTTGTTTTTATTCTTGTGAGTAATAGAAACTTGTTTTTCTCTCAAATATGTTTATGATCCTGGGATGATACAACAACAAGTGGTATCAGAGCAAGGTTTGAAGCTTTCGAGCTTTATTTTGATTTTTTCCGAGCTTCTGTAGAAATTCGAGTTTCTGGGTTGTGTTCGAAATTCAATTCCGAGGATGCCGTTGGATTCGTCTCGTCGAGACGGTCGCGGTGATATCTTACGGGCGAAAAACAGACACCGGAGCTGCCCCGAAAAGCCTCCGCAAGTTCTGAAAAAAAAAAAATATCGTGAGGTTGAAGATGATGACGTGTCGCCACGTCATGTGATACGTCATCACCACATCAGCAAGGAGGCCCAGTCAGCAGCCCAGTGAGCTGCCACATCAGCAGCCCAATCAGCCGCCAGGTCAGCACTCCAGTCAGCTGCCACATCAGCAAGTCAACGCCACGTCATCGGTTGACTGCCACGTCATCAAAAAAAAAAAACTCCCCCCATTTTCAACTGTTCCGGACGCAATGGTGCTGTCTGTTTTTCAAAATTCAGCTCCGATTGGTCCCAAACAGATCATTAAAGGTGTAAAATGGCCATGGAAGAGTCAACTTCATCTTCTGGAGCTATGATTATGCTCACGGCTACCAACTATACGCTGTGGAAACCTCGGATGGAAGATTTCCTCAGCTGTAGAGAGCTCTTTGACCCAATAGAGCTGAAGGGTATTAACCCTGATCCGTCCAAGGCATTAGAATGGAAAAAAAATCAATAGAAAAACTATTGGTCAAATCCGACAATGGATTGATCATAGTGTCTTCCATCATGTTGCACAAGAAACCGACGCATATGTCCTTTGGAGGAAGCTGGAGGACATGTACCAGGCCAAGACCGCTCGGAATAAGGCCTTATTGATGAGGCGCTTAGTCAATATGAAGTTGAAAAGTGGAACTTCTGTTGCCGAGCATACCAGTGAGTTCCAGAGCCTGGTAAATCAGCTATCTTGTGTGGAGATGCCGCTTGGAGATGAAATGCAATCTCTACTACTTCTTAGTTCCCTTCCTGATAGCTGGGAAACACTCGTTGTTACTCTCAGCAACTCAGCCTCAAACGACAAACTTTCCATGTCCGTTGTCAAGGATGCCTTATTCAATAAAGAGGCAAGAAGGAAAGACATGGGCACAGATCAGACCCATGCCCTTGTGATGGAGAATCGAGGAAGACCACAAGGCAAGCAACAAAGAAGCGGTAGAGGGAAGAGCAGGGGTAGAAGCAAGGGGAGGCAATCAGATGATCGGAGACCACATGTGTGTTATCATTGTGGTCTAGAAGGTCATATGAAGAAGAATTGCTATAAATGGCTCGAGAAGCAGGGCAAGAGCAATTCTCAGCCGAAGAATAGTTCTCAACAGAAGGACAAGGGCAAGAGTGGTGAAACTCTTATCACTGTCTCAGGTGATGTAGCATATTGCTCTAACCATGGTGAGACATGCCTTCATGTCTCAAGAGAAGACATGGAATGGGTGGTAGATACTGCAACATCCTATCACGTTACTCCCAACAGGAAATACTTCACAACATACCAAGCTGGAGACTTTGGATCGGTGAAGATGGGAAATTCCAGCTCCTCTCAAATTGTCGGAATTGGTGATATCCAGGCAACGACAGGAACCGAGAGTACAATCTTGTTGAAGGATGTCAGGTATGTGCCAGATCTTAGGCTAAATCTTTTGTCAGTGGTGATTGCGCCGCTTCAGAAAGAGGAGACAAGTTATGGCCTGGACGTGAAAGCTCTGAGCCCCAAGTTAAGGGATGGGTAAGTCACCACGAGCAAATCCAGTGCAGTCGTGGATCCGGTGAGCCCACACTCTTGACAAAGAAGGATATGAAAATCACTTCGGCGCAGGCACATAGAAGTTGTCAAAGGGTGTTCTGAAAATTGCCCGAGGACATGTTTGTGGGACGCTGTACAAAACACATTTGAAGATCAGTACAGAAAGTCTCAATGTTGCGGAGGAGGTTTCCCAGGATCTATGGCACCAGAGACTCGGCCATATGAGTGAGAAATGGCTGACTACCCTGATGAAGAAGGATCTTATCAAGGTTGATAAGAGTGCGGCGATGGGTTCTTGCAGTCATTGCCTGTTCGGCAAGCAGCATAGAGTCTCATTCAATACAAGTTCAACAAAGAGATCAGAGTTGTTAAGCTTTGTACACTCTGATGTTTGCGGTCCCATGGAGGTTGAATCACTGGGTGGAAGCAGATATTTTCTGACTTTCATTGATGATGCTTCTCGAAAGGTGTGGGTATATATCTTGAATACGAAGGACCAGGTGTTTGAGTACTTCAAGTCATTTCACGTCATGGTGGAACGTGAAACAGGAAAGAAGCTGAAATGTCTCCGATCTGATAATGGAGGCGAGTATACTTCCAAAGAGTTCGATGCATATTGCAGGACATATGGCATTCGACATGAGAAGTCAGTACCACGTACACAATGGTGTTGCTGAAAGAATGAATCGGACTATCATGGAGCGTGTCCGAAACATTATGAATATGGCTAAATTACCAAAGCCATTTTGGGGAGAAGCTGTCAAGACCGCATGTTATCTAATCAACCGATCACCTTCAGTTCCATTAAATTTTGAAGTTCCAGAGAGAATATGGACTGGTAAGGATCCGACATACTCACATCTCACAGTATTTGGTTGTGTAGCATATGCACATGTATCCAAAGAGCTCAGGAAGAAGCTCGATGCGAGGTCAATCCCATGCATTTTCATTGGTTATGGAGATGAAGAGTTTGGATACAGATTTTGGGATCCAAAGGAGAAAAAGGTGATCAGAAGTAGGGACGTTGTGTTTCAAGAAAATTTGACAATAGAAGATATCGAAAAGCCCAAGATGTCTCAGAAGTCAAATGTGGGTGCTCAAGTTTCAGATGAAGCACCAGAATTGTTCCGGAGAAACAATGAAGATGTACCAGAAGAAGACGAGGAGACGGAGGAGAGTGCAGAGCAAGGGGAGCAACAACCCATCTTGCCAGAGCAAGGGGAGCCACAACCCATTTTGCCAGACACCAATGTTGGAAGTTCTTCTCAGATGGTTCTACCCACTCGTAGATCTGAACGAGGTAATATACCATCAAAAGGTACTCATCATCCGAATACCTTTTATTGACAGAAGATGGAGAACCAGAGAGTTTTCAAGAAGTCGTATCTCATAAGGATAAAGAAAAATGGATGGCTGCGATGCAGGAAGAGTTAGATTCTCTGCAGAAAAATCAAACTTATGAGATAGTTGAACTTTCAGAAGGGAAAAAGGCTTTGAGAAACAAATGGGTGTTCAAGCTGAAGAAAGATGCAAATGGACAAGTGGTGAAACACAAAGCTCGATTAGTTGTCAAAGGCTTTCAGCAGAAGAAAGTGATTGATTTTGATGAGATCTTTGCACCAGTTGTCAAGATGACCTCAATTCGAGTCATACTTGGCTTGGCAGCAAGTATGAATTTGGAGCTTGAACAGATGGATGTGAAGACAGCTTTTCTTCACGGAGATTTGAATGAAGAAATCTATATGCAGCAGCCAGAAGGATTTGAGGTTTCAAGTGAGAACCTCGTGTGAAAGCTATCGAAAAGCTTGTATGGTCTAAAGCAAGCACCAAGGCAGTGGAATAAGAAGTTTGACTCATGCATGAAGAGTCAAGGTTACAAAAAGACTACTGCAGATGAGTGTGTTTACATCAAAAGATACTCAAATGGGGCTTTCATAGTTCTTCTACTGTACGTCGACGACATGGTGATCGTTGGGAATGATGTGTAGAAGATACGTCAGCTGAAGAAAGAACTTTCCAAGTCTTTTGATATGAAAGATTTAGGAAAGGCTCAACAGATTCTTGGGATGCAGATTACTCGAGACCGAGAGAACGGCAAGTTATGGCTATCTCAAGAGAAGTACATTGAACGAGTACTTGAAAGATTAAATATGAGTGATGCCAAACCAGTGAGTATTCCCCTTGCGAATCATTTCAAGTTGAGTAAAAGATCATGTCCAACATCCAAGGAAGAGATGAGGGAGATGTCTGCAGTGCCATACTCTTCAGCAGTTGGAAGTCTGATGTATGCAATGGTGTGTACAAGGCCAGATATTGCTCATGCAGTGGGTGTAGTGAGTCGTTTTCTTTTTAACCCCGGGAAGGAGCATTGGGAGGCTGTCAAATGGATTCTAAGATACTTGAAGGGTACTTCTAAGTTATGTCTTTGTTATGGGGGAGCTGATCCAGTCTTGGATGGATATACTGATGCTGATATGGCCGGAGATATTGATTGTCGAAAATCTACTTCGGGCTATGTCTACACTTTTGCAGGGGGAGCCATTTCTTGGCAATCAAGATTGCAGAAGTGTGTTGCATTATCCACAACAAAAGCTGAATATATTGCTGCCGCTGAAGCTGGTAAAGAAATGTTGTGGCTAAATCGTTATCTCCAAGAACTTGGGATTAAGCAGAAAGAGTACAATGTATATTGTGATAGTCAAAGTGCTATTGACTTGAGGAAGAACTCTATGTACCATGCCCGTACAAAGCATATTGATGTTCAGTATCACTGGATACGCGAGAAGATTGATCAGCAGCTGTTGAGACTAGTGAAGATCAATACGAAGGAGAATCCATCAGATATGTTGACAAAAGTGGTTACACTGGATAAACTTAAGCTATGCAGAGACATAGTAGGAATGCTTGTTCAGAACTTGCATGGAAAGGGGAGAATTGAAAGTTCCATGTAATATCTTCTGCACACACATGAAGACTTTGAATGGCACACAAATGAAGAAAATAGTTAACCACCACCTCCACCAAACCTTCTTCATTCACACCATTTTGTCAATGGTGGTG